AAACTGCTAATATAGGTGGAACAGTCTTTGAAATTTCCTGCTTCCTGGAAAAGTCTGCTGGATACTGAGGGCCCGTAGGCTGAAAAAGGATGGCCCAATGGTGCAGTAGAACTTTGGGTGACTGTCCAGATAACGACATGTCTCTGTCAATTCTTGCGTTTTTAGAAGTTGCTTACAATTCACTTCATATTTACTTGGGTAATATTATATCCTTCTAGAGTCTTTGAAGAGTTGAAGAATAGGTAGAGATTGGTATAGTTTTCCTTGGTTATGATTAAAAGGTAGATAGAATATTTATATCTGTAATACTTGATTGATACTTGTTTTGTTATATGTAATTTTACTATGTTATAGTTAAAGCCTTCCATTTTGTTTAAACAGAAAAGGTGAAGTGGTGTGGGAGGTCCTTCTGTCTATGTTGCTCTTATTGGTTAATGAATAAAGTAAATGTCTTGGACTGTTGATAGGGCAGAACTTAGGTAGGTGGAAACACTCGACTGAATGCTGGGAGAAAGAAGGCAGAATCAGAGAGACGCCATGGAGCCACCAGAGTCAGACATGCCTAACCTTTCCCAGTAAGCCACTGCCACCTGGCAATACACAGATGAATAGAAATGGGTTTAATTAATGTAAGAGTTAGCCGATAAGAAGCTAGAACTAATGGGCCAAACAGTGATTTAATTAATACAGTTTCTGTGTGATTATTTCGGGGCTAAGCTAGCTGGGTGGCCAGGACAAACAAACAGACCCTCCACTAATAGAAGGTTGTGAGCTACTTCCATAGTTAAACATTCTGTTGTTAGAACAAAATAAGTCAAACAGACATCCTAGACCAAAACATTCTGTAGACAAACCACTCCCTGTGTGGAATCCAATATTATCTCTTTAAAGAAACTGGAATTGTAGTTAGATCCTAGACTTTTGTTAGGGGCAGAAACATATGTACTTCTCTATTCCTGAAGCACAAGGTCTGGCTATTAGCCACACTGTGGACAATAACCTTGAGAGAGCAGAACTCTCTGATCTGAATCTAGGTGTGACCTTGTTTGAGGTAGAAACACAATAACCTTGAAGGAATAGAGGAAAGTTCCAACTCTCTGACCTTTGGTGAAGGTGAAAATAGACATTTTTGGGCCTCCACACTGGGAAACAAGATTTCACCGAGGATGTACTTGTGGGAAACAGCGGGTGTTATAACTGCTTGAGTGGGTAAGAGCTTAAGAAATGAGTTCCTTTAGACCAAGACGTTCTCTAAATTTGTTTTTTTGTAACTAGAAATATTCTGTGATGTTCACACATCTTTGAAGCAAAAAGACAGCTGAACTCAGGGCTGAAGGAGCAAGCTAATAAAGCTGTTCTGTAGATGGACGCTTCTGTCCCACTGGTCCCACAGCCATTCAGTCTCAAAGAAACACTCAGAGGCTTATATCGATTATAAACTTTTTGGTCTACTAGCTCAGGTTTCTTACTAACTAGCTCTTACTTAAATTAACCCATATTCCTTGTTTATCGACGTGGCTTGCTACATTTTCTCAGGGAGTCGTTCTCATTTACTTCCTCTGAATCGAGTAAGTGACTATGTCTCTCTGCTTTCCTCTTCCTAGAATTATCTTAGTCTGATTGCCTTGCCTATATTTTCTGTTTGGCTAATGGCCAGTCAGCATTTTATTAAACCAATACAAGTGATCATTTTTTACAGTGTACAAGAGCATTATCCTATATCACTGTTCTGATTATCTGCTTTATTAAAAAGTACTATCTATTGCTAAACAAATCCCTTCAAAAGGTTCTAGACTGAAACATCGCTGGCTTTATGACTGTATTACAGCGCCAGGGCTGCCAAGGTTCCACCAGGTGGTAAAAGTGAAATTTCTCCCCATGTGCTACACATTCAGAGTTACAGTTGCGCATTATGAACGCAAGATGGCGACAGACTCCCCTTTGAATTTATGAGCTAACACTCCCGAGTGAAAGTAAAAACTGTATAAAACAATGTCTTGCATTGCTGGATCTAGGGAAAGAAATGTGCAAAGATGCCTAAGAAGGCAGGGGCCCTGACAGGATTCACAAAACAGTATCAAGACACACACTGACGTGCTGGGGCCGTTGTAGGGGCCCCACCTTTAATCCCAGCACTAAACCATAGAGACAGGACAATCTTTGAACTAATAGCTAATAACTAATTAAATCCCCTTATCTCTTCCTTTTGCTTCCCCATCCTTGAAAACTAAAAGTAAACCATTTCACAGTTTTTCTTTTATTACGACATAGGCACGGAATGGGATTGTGTGACGGTAAAGTGGATGTGTCTCGAATTTTTGAGGACTCCCTTGCTGTTGTGCAGAACGGCCACGACAGCTTTCTTCCCACCAGTGTAGGCACTTGATCTTTTCTCCGTATCCTCATGAGCACTCATTTCTGTTTTGTTTTATAATTGACAGGAGGCAGTCTTGGGATTGCATCCTCTGGATGTGACTTAGAGGTGCAGATAGTTTATGTGGTTAAACATTGACTCAGATCTGACAGGGCTCAGTGGCCGCCTGTGGCATCTGAATTAGACCTGAGGTTTCACAAGCCTTCCTGGTGGAATTTCATCTCCATAGCTGGAGTTCAGAGACGATCTCAGTAGGATCCGATCCAATAATAAATTAAGGCTGCAGCGGAAATGATGGAGACAGGAATTCTAACTATTTGGGGTCATGGTAGAACATTCCATCCAATGTGCCTTGAGGGTCACTTGATTTCATATGTAATATCTGTGTCAGGGGGATGACTCAGGAGCCATCAGGAAGGACTCAGCTGTCATAAACAGTGCCAAAAAGTTGTTGCCAATACCATGCCAAGTTGTTACCAATACCATGCCAAGTGTTACCAATACCATGCCAAGTTGTTACCAATAACATGCCAAGTTGTTACCAGTACCAGGTGAGCGTGCAAATGATAATTTATGGGACTATTTCCTTCAGATTGGTGCTCTGATGGTGTCATTGCGTTACTGAAAAGGCGAAGGTACCACCGTGCTGTCCAAACATGACTTTGTGCCTGCCTGGTCACTTCAACAGTCACATTCATGGTGTTGAAGATTCTGGGGCTGTCCACTTGACTATGATTTGGATATATTGTGTCTGGAAGATACAGACTAGCCTTGTAAACAATGAAGATGTTACTAGGCAACTCTAAATTCCTCACCACTTATATACCCCTCCCCAACACTGATGTAATTATAGTTTTGTCTTTTTAATTGCTGTACTCCTGAGCTCAGGTACCAAGAAACATCCCAGAGGTGTGAGTCCATTCATGCATGGCTATTAATTAATAAAGGTTTTAACCGTTTAATTAGTTTTTCTTTTTTTTTAAGGTTTACTTATTTTGTATAGGGCTCTACCAGCATGAATGCCTGCAGGCCAGAAGAGGGTGCCAGATCTCATAATGTGGTTGCTGGGAATTGAAGCTCTAACCTCTGAGCCATCTCTCCTGCACCACGTTTGTGCTTGTCAGTAACTATCTCATGTGGACCATCTCATCACCAGGAATCTTAGTCAGGGTTTTGTTGCTATGATAAACACCATGACCAAAAGCAAGTTGGGAACGAAAGGGTTCATTTCAGTTTATAGTTTACAGTAAGCCTTGGAAGGAAAGTCAGGCTAAGAACTCAGGGCAGGAACCTGGAGGCAGGAACTGAAGTAGAAGCCAAGGATGCAGGCTGCTTACTAACTTGTTCCTCCAGGCTTACTGGGTTTGCCTTCTTATACTATGCAGGATCACCTTCTCAGGAGCCTACATCATCACCTACAGTGGGGGCCCTGTCATATCAATCATTAATAAAGAAAATGCCAGCCAGGCTAGCTTACACTCCAGTTTCATGGAGGTGTTTTCTTAACTGAGTTCACTCCGCACAGATGAGCCTGGCTTGTGTCAGGTTGGTAAAAGGTTAACTAACTCAGTGGGTAAAGATTTCTCTTCTCATTTTGTCTTTCCACAGACAGAAGTCAGGTAAGACACAGTTTAAGCTCACGTTTATTTAGCAAAGCAAAGGAACTCAAATCAATAACAAACTCCAGAACATTATCAAAGCAGGCGAGACTGAAGGTGGGTGGCAGCCCACTGGGCTCTACATGGTGGAGGTTTTTAAAGTTCCTCATGGTCCCCTCTCTCTTATACCAATGTCAAGTTCCTCCCGTTTGGAGCCAGCTTCATTTATCTTACTCTGCTGAAATTGTTCCACTGCCAAGATGTCTGCATGATTATCCCTTGCCTGCTCATCAGCATACTCGTCGGTGGCAGCTATGGTCATTGGGAGAGTGCCTGGTGCCTTAGTTTCTTACATAGCAGGAGGAGCCCAGCTGCAGCTTCAAAGGTCTCTGTCCACAAAGGAGCATTGCAACATCAGGAGACACAGCAACCAAGACACAGCCATAGCCCCTTTGATTGCCTTTCTGACAAGGGAGAAGCTCATCTCTGCCAGTTCTGGAGCTTGAAACCCAACGCCAAGATGCCAGCATGGCCCAGGGTCTGCTGGTGCATCATGTCCTGGTGGGGACGTCATATGACCAGAGCTCAGTTTACCTAAGCTTTTGTAGGTGTCATTCAAACCACTGTGACGCCTTTCCCCAACCCCTTAACCATGGCTTCTGGAGTCAGGCAAGAGCAAAGGCTTTAATCAGTGTGTGCTTGGTGCGAGGGGATGGAGAGAAGAGGACTGCAGTTTTCTGCAGGCTATCTCAGGAACAGAGACCAGCGAAGGTCACACAGACTCCAGGGTTAGAATCCAGTGTCCCTCAGCTTGCCTGGGCTTCTTTCCACAGAACAACTCTCTTAGAATGGCAAATCACCATCTTGTCCCCTTTACAGAATAAAGAAACCAGACAGGGGCATCTGGAAGAATCACAGCAATTTGCTGTACACTGGGAGGGCCCGCAGCCTAGATAGAGGGAGGGCAGAGATCTGTATGATAAAGTAATCGAGACGGGATTCGCAGGCAGGAGTCATTACATGTGTTTTCAGAGATGTTTTAGTTTCTTCTGGCAGATCCACTTCTTTTCTGAATCACAGCTTTCAGAAACCGATTTGTCCTTTGAGATGGCAACACAGCTGTTTCTTACAGCATCGCCTATGATGTTCAATCTGAGTAGGAAGAGAACAGCCACTCTTAGTGTTTAGGATTTTCTCATAATTATCTTGAGTTGGCCATGCTTTGCACTGGACTTCTAAGAACTGTAAAATACATAGTTCTTACTTATAGTAAACCTAGAGTAACAACATATACCAACATTAAAGATAAAGGTTTGTGGGAACAAATCTCCAGCATAATTTTCAATTTTACTTACTACTGGAGAAGAATTCTTGCAGAAATAAATAAATAAATAAATAACATTCATCTGATATAACAAAGGAGAAGGTTTGGAAACACAATTGAATCTTATTCTACTGCTAACATCTCATGCAAGGAAAACAGTTGCTGAGTTCAATTTGCTGAGCTTCGATCTCCTAAATATATAGGTTATAACCCGCCAATGCTTGGGGAAGGAGCTCATGTACACATGAACATGTGACAACAGATAAACACAGCGGTGCTTAGTGGCTCTACAGACTCTCAGCATCCACAGAGGGAAGAGGCTAAGGCTGTGTGACGGCAGTGGTCCCTTTATCCCTGGGAGTATTTAATTTAGTAGTCATACATGGCTCCCGTGGCTCCCATGGTACACTGCTGGTGTGAACAAAACAAGAATTCAAACACAGTGCAGGTAAAATTAGAGTTAACTGTAGGGACGAGATGAGTTCAAAATGCACTGATTTATGGTAAACAGAAGGAGGGGTGTGATAGTGGGCGGGACTTCCTCCTAGATGCCCTATTTCCTTTGGTCATTTCTTCATGGAGCCCTTTGGGTCTGAGAGAGAAATCGCTCTCACCCAGGTGCTTGGATGCCAGTCATACCATAAACTCACTTCCACTGTAAAGGTTCCTTTGTCTTATTTCTTCCATGCTTCTGGGTTTTATTCAGTTTTAAAGATGATTTCCTTAGGACTGATCTGTTCGAAATGTCACTGAGGCTTCCTAGGCCTTCACTTACCAGGCCTTGGGAGACCTCTAACATTATTTTATTAATTCCTCAAATAATCGTTCAGGGAAAATGGTTACTTTTTCCCTATCTGAAAACAAGGGTCGAAGCTAAAACAAAAGCAGGGCTTAACCAATGCTCTTTCTGCTGTAGCTCAGCAGGCTCGGGGCTTACCGGATGGCTGTCATATAATCAAAGCATCATTTTACACTCAGAGTAAAAATGACAGATGGACTGAGCTTAATCCATACTCTCCATGTGCCTTACAATTTTATTATCACTGTGAATCACAATAAAAAAGCATGTTACATCACATACATGCATATGTGTGTGTGTGCACGCAAACGCATACACACAAGTGTTATGCAAGCTTCTAGGTAAGAAGAGTCATCAATGTTCAACTTAGCTGTGGATCCCACAGACTACAATAACAACCTGCTTAAACCACTGGAGCAATAGTGGCAATTCTATTATGGAAGTAACCAACCACTCTCTGTTCTGATTGGATTTGAGGTTCATTCAACAGGATGGAATTCATGCTTGTACTGCAAGTATGGTCAAACCCATATGGGAACACACTGCTGTTGCATTGCTAGACAAATATATTTCAGTTGCCTTCCAAATACATAAGTTTTATTGCAGATTATTGCTGCTCTCAGTCTTTAGCACAGAAACTTCTTTTTGCAATAAGAAGTGATTTGACAATTGGAAGTGATCACTGAGTGCTCAGCCCTAAGTGGGACAGGGAACGTCATGGAAAGGGGCAGAAAGAATGTAAGAGCCAGAGGATGGGGATGATGTCCATGAAAGTGTCATCTGAACTTGATGTGGCTGATGCACTCATGAAGCCACTGCTGCTATGATTCCCTGCACAAGACCTGCACGGACTGGGACTGGATGGCAAACTTTCCATCACAGGTAGAAAGGGAGATCTGAGACCCCAGACTGAGCATACAGGCAGTTAATTGCTGGATGAGGAGATGTAAATTTCTTCAATGACATAGCCGTTATTCATTTGCCTATACTTCAGGGACTAACCCCCAGTTCATTTCATGCAAGCAAGCAAAATAAACTCAATGGATCACACACACACACACACACACACACACACACACACACACTTTCTCTGTCTGTCTCTATTAGTCTCTCTGTGTCTCTGTCTCATTCTCTCTCTCATTCTTTTTCTCTCTCATTCTTTCTCTCTCTCTCTCTCTCTCTCTCTCTCTCTCTCTCTCTCACACACACACACACACACACAAACACAAACACACAGTTGTATAGCAATTTCCTCTGAAATGAAAAATTCCATCCTGGAGGGAAACTCATTCAGATTCAGAAAGTTCTAAAGGGAAGTTTCCTAAAACTCAGAAAATAAACAACTCACAAATCTTAACAAGCTCCTGAAACTGATCAGACGCAGGAAACGTTTTATACCCAAAGGTTATATGAACAGTAAGGACTGGTGAGAAGAAGTTGTCTCACTAGTTGAACTGCCTACAAGCTCTGCAGAGAGCCTGAAGGTTCCAGCTCTGATGTGTTGTCACCAATTTGGGGAGAGTTTTCAGTTATCTTCTGCCTTTATGTCATTTATGTTCTGTAAACACTCCCTCATTCATACTCTTACAAGTAATTCCAATTAACTCACTGTAGTATTGTTATTGTCACTGGGTAGTATTATTATTTTGATCTGTCATTGGTTCCCTATCTGGGGTCAGTAGACATTTATTCACATCTCCACAGAAATAATGTCACATAACCATCTCTCTCTCTCTCTCTCTCTCTCTCTCTCTCTCTCTCTCACTCTCTCTCTCTCTCTCTCTCTCTCTCTCTCACACACACACACACACACACATACACACATACACATATGCACACACACACAGTAGGAGAGTAATTTGAGGAGTTTGTTGGGAATAAGAAGAGTTTTAGTAGAAGAGATAGAGGGAAATAATACATGAAAGAACAACGCAAATTTCCTAAATATTTGGATGAAATTAGTAAGGAACACCTCATAATTCAAACCTTGCTTTATATGAAAAGTACAAGTTAACATCAAATAGTTTTATTTCTTTATAGGTACTATGTTGAAAATAGTCTTCAGTGTCACAGATTTATGCTAATTTGACACCACTGAGTCATCTGAGAGGAGGAAACCTCAATAAGAAGATGCCTCCATAAGACAGGGCTGCAGACAAGCCTGAGGGACATTGTCTTAATTAGTGATTGACATGGGAGGGTCCAGATCATTGTGGGTAGGGATACCCCTGGGCTGGTGGTTCTGGGTTCTATAAGAAAGCAGGCTGAGAAAGCCATGAGGCACAAGTCAGTAAGCAGTATACTTCCATGTCCCCTGCATTGGCTCCTGCTTCCAGGTTCCTGCCCTGTTTCAGGTGCCCGTCCTTACTCCATTACTGATGAACATCGAGGAAATAAACCCTTTCTTCAACTCGCTTTTCACCACAGCAATAGTAACTCTAAGTAAGACACTGAGAAAGCATTAGGAAAAATCAGGATAGATTTTATGAAATTGAATATGTATATTTTGTTTTCATAAATATATTCTAGAACAAAACACTTGTTTTCAAATAATCCTCACTTTTAACACCTCATTCACTGAAAAAAAAATTCAAAATGTGGTCCTGTATACTGTCATCCTTTACTCTCAAGGTAAATTTTCTCTATTTAACAGTCTCTATACCTAATATGTTATCAGTATATTACAAATAAGCCTACATATGCTTCATTGTTTAAACTTGTACCTTTTATTCTAAATGATTAAAAGGAATATTTTAATATTGACTTGTGCAATGTGCATAAATTTACTCAAGATTTGTGTCTTAAGTCCTCCCCCCCCCCCATCCTGGTCTTGGAAGGTGAACATCCAAACTGGGTAAGCTCCCACACAGCCAGAACATGAAGTAGGATCAAAACCCAGTGCCATTGTCCTTGGCTTCTCAGGAGCCCTCATTGTCCGCCATATTCAGAGAGTCTGGTTTTATCCCCTGCTTTTTCAGTCACAGTCCAGCTGGCCTTGGTGAGCTCCCACAGGGCAAGGAACCCTGACTGTTCTTCAGACTTGAGAGGGAGGGGGAGAGGAGTGGGGGGCGAGGGAGAGGAGTGGGGGGGAGGAGTGGGAGGCTGGGAGGAGGCAGAAATTGTTTTTTTTTCTCAATAAAACAAAAAGAAAGTTAAAAAAAAAAGATATGTGTCTTAGCTAAGGCTACCATTACTGTGATGAAAAAATATGACCCAAAGTAGCTTATGAAGAAAAGAGTTTGTTTCACTGATAGATACTGAGGCTAAGTTAGAGCAGGAACTAAGCAAGGCAGGAGCAAAAGACAGGAGCTAATGCAGAGGCCATGGAGGGGTGCTGCCTACTCACTTGCTCACTGTGACTCTCTTAGTCTGCTTCTTATAGAACCCAGGACCTCCAGGCCAGGGGTGACACCACCCACAATGAACTAGGCCTTACATTACTAATTAGGAAAATGTCCTACAGGCTTTCCTACAACCTGATTTTATGGAAGCATTTTCTCCATGAATGTTCTCAGATCCACCTCTTAGATGACTCTAGCTTGTGTCAAGTTGGTATAAAATAAAACTCACTAGCATAATTACTAAAATATGATTCTCAACATCATTTCTTCTGAAGAAAAAAATCATTGAAAGCTCTGTGCCGAAATTTGATTGAACCCTGCCTGCTTTTGCTTATGAAAAACATAAATACGTTGATTTGGGGACATGGTCCAGGAATGGACTCAAGTAAGGAGAAGTCTGAAGGATTGAGGGAACACTCCAAGAGAACAGGACAAGAGTCTTGTGACTCAGTTCCTTCCAAACAAGGAAATGTGATTGGAATGCATTTTCTCGCTCCTCCAGGCACAACAGAAAGGAGTGGGCTTATTTCAGATTACTTATTAGTACTTACTATTGGTAATCAATAATATTCAAGCTGTCCTCTGTGTGCATCTCTGGAAGAGCATGTTTGTCATGCTCGGCTTGTCTTTGTTATTGTGTACAGCTAAAGCCTGTGAACTTCGCTCATGTGAACTGTCTCAACCCTCAGAGTACAGATGGCTGCTGCCCTGTAGAAAGCCGGCTGCTGCACGAGGCTTTAGTCCACCTCATTTATTGGCTCCATTCTCTCCGCTCCTACCACATCTGAAGCAGGGACACATTGCTCCTTGTTATACCAATAACCATGCATTTTTCTAAAATAAATAACCTAACTATGAATCATCAGCTCTTTTATTGCGTTTGTGACTGTGTAGACAATCTCACACCACAAGAAAACAAGACACCAAGTAGCAAATAGCTAATGTGCTGCTTAAGACATTCCATGAAAGTGTAGAAAAGGATAGAAGGTAAAAGAAAGAGCAATGTGTGCTGAGGTTCTAAGCAGCTGTTTTTCGAAGGAGTAAGTCTGCTTCCTGGCCTTAAAACTCCATCTCATATATATATGCATACACATGACTTTATAAAAGGCTGATAACTGCTTATACATGGAAATTTTCAGTCATTTTTGGAATTGTACTTTCAGACTGTTCTGAACATCTCTAATCTTTGGTATCAGTGTTAGAGCCCTACTATAAGATGGCCTGAAATGAACATTCGAGTGAGCTCCTCCAATACTCACACATCAGAACTTAAAGTGGAGCCGTTTATCCATCTCCAGTGCTTCTCTGACATGGAATAATTTAGTCCAATCCAAAATAAATGTCCTCTTATCTTTAACGAGTCCTTTACGAATCTCTACAATCAAAACAGAGGAGAGGACTTAACCTGAGCCTGTGTGCTGTGACTCATATTCCACAGCCTCCCGACACCTAGGTCAAGTGTCACCTGAGTCCGTCCTGAGTCCTCAGCACAGTTCATTCTTCCTCCCTTGAGGAATCTGTGCCCAGCATTTACGATTCTAGGACACCCACCTTACATATGCAGTTACTGGCTCACATGTCCCTCTAGTCTCTCAGGCTATGAGCTCCCATAATGTAAAGTCTCCACTGCCTTTGTGTGGAAGATCTGTTAAATCAGGAGACGCTGGTGCAGCTTCAGAGATGTGCTAACATCTCTATTTTATAGAACAACTCACCAGTTCTTCTTGGTCTTGAATGAGCAGCAAAGTGGCTCCTTTTCTAGTGCAGTTAGATAGACCGTCCTTCCAAACACCGGTCTCTTGAGAAAACTGTATGCATTTCTCTCGGTGTGGCAGCCAGCCAGAGGGGCATGTTAGCTGAACTGGACTCTCTGAAGTGAGGAGCAGACATGATGAATTTCTACCCTGTCTGTGCTGCACCACAGCCAATTACACACAGTAGTTGCTTTGCTAACACACACTTTTACACACACAGTAACATGTGCTGGGACAAAATCACTGTTAATGGCACATCAAAGAAATATAAATGACACAGAATTTATTTTATTTTTGTTTCTTTTAATTAACTTCAGACAAGGTTAACTATATGAAATTTTGATTAAAACAACCAAATATTCATTGTAGTGGTTTAAATAAGAAAGGTCCCCGTAGGCTGATATATTTGAATGCTTAGTTGTCAGGGAGTGGTACTACTTTAGGAGGTGTGGCCTTGTTGGAGGAAGTGTGTCATGGGGGTGGGGTTTGGGGTTTCAAAAGCCCAAACCAGTCCCAGAGTCAATCTCACCTTTATGCCTGCAGATCCAGATATAGAAGTGCAGCTACTTCTCTAGCATCATGTCTGCCTACATGCTGCCGTGCTCCCCACTGTGATGACAATGGACTAAACCTCTGAAACTGTACGCAAGCACCAAGTAAATGCTTTATTTTACCAATGTTGTCATGGTCATGGCGTCTCTGCACAGCATTAGAACACTGGCTCTAAAGAATCCTGTAAATCAAACTATTTTTTTTTGTTTTCCGCGTCTGTGTCTCTCTGTGTGTGTTTTACATATATGTGCGTACAAGTACATGTGCCTATGCATGTGCGGAAACGAGAGAAGGATGTAAGATCTCTGCTCTATCATTCTACACCTATTCTTTAGAAGTAGAGTCTCTTATTGAATATGAAACTAATATTTTTCTTCTTCAAAACTGGAAACAGGAAGATCTCAGTGACTATCCTGGTGTGTTCATTACATGGAGGCTGAAGCTGTAATTACAGTCTCCATGCTTGCACAAAAACACTCTTAACCACTGAGCTGTCTCTTAAGCTCCATATTTAATTTTTTAAGTTGTTGTTCATCTGTAGTAACCAACTGTGCTATCAGGCTGAGGCAGCATGGTCAGGAAGACAAGAGCTAGATTTTAAGATCACATATCTTCAGTTTCCAACGGCATCACTTACCAGTCACATGACTTTTGACAAGTTCTTAACTTTTTTATGCTTCCGTTTTATCAAACATAAGACCCATGATGTGAGCCTTGATGAAAGGTAATGTGATATTGATCAAAATCAGGATATCAAAATTACCTGTTGCCTTCGTACTGCTCTCTGAAACGTTCACATTGCATTTTTCGACTGTTGCTTTCGTCTTGTTCTCTTGAATGCCTTTTCCTACTGGTGTTTTTTGTACTAGCGGTAGATAGAAAACACAGGAAGAAGGTGAAATGTACATTCTACATACAATAGAATGGATATTGTATCTATCGCTTCAGGAAACGAAGTCAACCCAACAAGCTTGAGTATGGACAAGAACAATGTATTAGCGACATGTTAACAGGGGACCACTTTGGAGACAGAGTGAACAGAGAACCAGAAGAGCACAGAACAAATGGGTTCACACTGCTGTTGGTTACACCACATCTAAGGGCATTGCTGACGCGCATGCTTCTCTCGCACCTCCGACTTCGCCCCTGTGGAGTGAGGATGCTCACACCCGCACCTAGCATAAGGTTGCTGGCTGTCTTCTGAAGTTCGGCAGACATCTAATAAACTCATATGTAGGCATTGTGGTTTTCATTGTTATTGTTATCTTGTCACACTTGTGATCTATTTTAGAGTTCTAGGTGCACATGCGTCATCCCCATCGTGATTCTCCAAACCAGGAGAAATACAACAGGGGATATTGTCCTGCAACTGCCCGTCATTGTTCCTCCCCCAGGCTCAGGGTGGCCAGCTCATGTGAAGAAGCCAAAATACTTACGGTGAAACTAGAGGAAGATTTTGTTTTGTTTTGTTTTTCAAGGCATGGTTTCTCTGTGTAGCCTTAGCTGTCCTGGCACTCGCTGTGTAGATCAGGCTGGCCTATGAACTCACAGAGATATGCCTGCCTCTCCCTCCAGAATGCTGGGATTAAAATTGTGCATCACCACTGCCAGGCTAGAGAGAGAATTCTAAGGTAAAAACATTTGTCTCACTTACCTAAGATACTGAGTTTAACCACAATCAGGACAAGAAGGATCAGCCATAGACAGCCAAGTTTCAGAGCCAACCGATGCCAGCGTGGGCACCAGCAGCTGTCTGAGAAGTTAAAGAAAAACACACTTTTAATCTAGTTGAGAGCATTTGGAATGAATGAGGTAGCTTGATTAACATGGACAATTGGATTCACATTGAGGCTGGGGTACAGAAAAGAGCCTTTCTTAGCCTCCTTAGTAAGGAATTCCACAGTTGGGTCAAATGGGTTTTAGGAAGGTCAAACTTGACGATGGAGAAGATGTCTTGAAAATTGTTGAGTGGATGCTGTACAAAAGTAAAGTACGTATTCTGCTATGGTAATGAGCCAGCAATTCCTCCAAGAAGGAGTATCTTCGTTTATAGGAGGTACACACACACACACACACACACACACACCTCAGTTTTGTGCTAAGTACCACCTTTGGCGCTGGTGATGTATAGCAATTCTATTATTTAACATGGGGCCTGCTTCACTGTTGTCTGTAATGATCTTCTCCATCTTGGAATAAAGTTTAGGCACCTGTGCAACCGGTTTGTTTGTTCTGGACAGAGTTTCAGTATGCTGCCCTGGCTGGTCTGGAACTCTAAGCAGACCACAGTGGCCTTGGCCACCGTGTTGTTTCCAGGATTTTAACTACATTATTCTCCACTTATCTGCACAGGTTGAGCTCTCCAACTCTTCATGGAGAGCTGAGCTGTGGTTAGAAGCCATCTCTATGAATATTGCTTCACACATGCAAACATGTGTTAAGTTTCCCGTCTTAACTGAGTGCAGGCATAAGTGTGGCTGTGACTTTCATAGCTTGGTATCTACTAGCAAAATCTGTTTTTATATTTCTCTTTTTCCCTTTCCTTAAATGGAGTGTTTCCACCTTTTCATGTAGAGGAAGCAAGTGTGGCTTCCCTTTGACACAGGAGTATTGCCAGCGTTCAGAGAGTTCACAACTTGAAGCCACTATTCAGTAAAATGAGAGGTATTTGAGCACAAGCCTATATTGGCAGGCTATATTAGTCAGGGTTATCTAAGTCACAGAATTTACAGAATGAATCTCTCTCTCTCCAGATATATATGAATTCACTGGGAGGACTTTCAGGCTGCAGCCCAACAATGGCTATGAATGGAGAGCTCGACTCTAGTAGCTGCTGAGTCCTGCAAGGCTGGTGTCTCAGCTGCTCTGCTGGGATCTCGAAGAAGGAGATGAAGGAATGTGCTGATGGGGGTGAGGGCAAGCAGGTGAAGCAACCCTTCCCCCACCCTTCCTTCTTCCATTGCCCCTCCATGGGCTTCCAACAGAAGGTGTGGCCCAGATCAAAGGTGTGCCTTCCACTCTCCAGGTCTGATTTAAAGGCGTGTGTCATCCAGTCTTAAAGGCCAGATATCTTCCTGCCCTAACATCTGGATCGCAAACGTTACCTTATTTCTGGATTAGTTCACTCCAGATAAAAGTTGACAACCAAGAATAGCCGTGACAAAGGTGCTTCGGAGTGACTCATGCCTTGACAAGACGGTAGGAGAGCTCACTCTACTCTTCACAACAATGTCCAGCTCAAGACACAGAGTTACTTCTTCCTGGAATTTTCTATTCAATCATTGGATTAATATTTATCAACTTGTTGACTGCAAATTATGAAAGTGCACCAGATTGAAATGGTTGATTAAGGGGGTTCTGTGCTATAACACATGCATCTACAATACTGCCTTGGTGAAATACCAGGTCCTGTATCTGTGCTTTTCTTGGTGACCATAGCAGTTACTACACAATAAATATCTTATGTATATCAGAAGTTCAAATACATCAAGTTATAAATGTGTTCATAAAGTTTCATGATTTGGACAGTTTATTTTGACTTTAGACAACTTTAAAAGCATGGGTGTCATATGAAACGTAGTAACAATCATTTTGGTTTCTTTATGAAAATACTGTGGAGAACCATTACCTAGCTTCTATCACTCTAATTTATTAAAACATCAGATTGCTCTTATTTTATCTCTAGCATCTACATTTATAATGTTCTTATAAATTCTAAGAAAACTTTCCTAGTTGCCTTGTTTGCTGTACTTTGTTCCCTTTTTGAGACAGAGTTTCCTGTCGTCCAGGTTGACCTCTAACTCTGTGTGGTTGAGACTGGTCTTCAACTCCTGATCTTCTGCCTCCACCTCCCAGGTTCTGGTTGGTATCATAGTTATGAACCACATACCTGCCTAAGGTTTCCTTATTTTTCAAAATACCTGTTGATTCATGATTTATATATATTTCCTGTTGGCTTTATATTTTTCTAAATTTTAATGTAATTGAATATAATCAAATGTAAATGTAATCTTCATCTTACTGTAAATGAATACATGTTTTGAGTTCATGTTAAATTTTTAAACTCAGATGTGCTGTTATATATTATATTGTCTTTTATTATTCATTGTATTTTTCCAGAATTGTTTTTATATCCAATTCTACCTCTTCTAGATACATTTTAATTTTTTTTTACATTATCCCAGACAACTGAACAGTTTAACCCAGACTGAAGACAAGGACCAAGTGTCTTTAGTCTCTAGAACAGCATTGAGACAGGACAATCACTTAGATGAGTTAGTTCCTTTTCAAGTTTTCCTCTGGAGAAAGAATAATAGGAAGGGGTGGAGAGGGAAAGAAGAACAAAGGTGATGTGGGAGTAATTTCTTATTAATAAAGAAACTGCCTAGACCCATTTGATAGGCCAACCCTTAGGTAGGCGGAGTAAACAGAACGGAATGCTGGGAGAAAGAAGCTGAGTCGGGGAGTCGCCATGATTCTCCCACTCCAGACAGACGCAGGTTAAGATCATTCCTGGTAAGCCAGCTCGTGGGCTACACAGATTAATAGAAATGGGTTAGATCAATATGTAAAAGCTAGCCAATAAGAAACTGAAACTAATGGGTCAGGCAGTGTTTAAAAGAATACAGTTTCCGTGTAATTATTTCGGGTAAAGCTAGCCATGCGGGCGGCCGCATGCCAGGGACGCAGCCCTGCTGCTCGTAACACAACAGAATGGCGCCCGACGTGATGGACTAAATCCACTTAAAAACCTGAGAAGGCTTAAAAATAAGGGAGAGAGACTTTAACACAGATTTTTGCTGTTTGTTGGTGGCGTGCTGTAGAGAGATTTCCTGATTCGGCAACAGCAGCAGAAAAAAAAGCTGCGTCATTTTAAAGTGCGGCTTCTTGGGACTGTGCCGCCAGTGCAAACTCTGGCTTTAAAGCATTTCAATGGATTTTATGGGACTGGATGTTTGTGTTCCCGCTTGGGATCGGAAGGAGAGTGCTCTCAGCGCTCCCCGCCTGCACCTGGGCAGATGGCAGAATCAGGCTTAGGCAGGCGGAAGAGCATGGTGGAAGAGACGTGTTTTCAGACTGCGCAGTGCTCTGCGTGTCAGATTTGGTTGTAACTTGGATAAAAAGAGTTTCTGTGCTGCATGCTCAGTCTCAAAATTAAACTGCTGAGTGCGGCTCCAATGAGGACTTGCTGTGTGCCTGGAACTGTGCACAGCTCAGGGGCACCAAATGGATCTGAGGCAGGAGAGGCTGCTCCTTGCTGAACTGTGCTGGTTGGCAGAAACTACCGTAATTACCATAATAACAGCACAGTTAAGGTTTAGACTGGGCAGGACACAGGTGGTACCGTATTACCTGTACATGGTGCAACTTAAGTTTTTAAGAAGTGCTTAACATTTTAAGAAATGCTCCTGGATAGTAAAAATATTACAGATTCACAATAAAACAGATTCAGACATAACAGACCTCAGTGGATCACAGTGTTGGATGAATGTACATAGGCTTGAGAGAGAGAAGAATAAGAATATAGAGAATAAAGTAAATGTCTTTAAAAAAGGGTAAAGTCTTTAAAGAGACAGAGTACAGATAGTTAAGAGATTAAAAGAAATAAAGAAAAATAAGCCACGTAAAAATGGAAAATTCACAGAGAGTCTGGATTATGTACATTCTGTTTTCTTTAAAATTTTTGACTGTAAAGGAGCTAAGTACAGACAGACATTTCATTACATGGGCTGCCAAGCTAAACCATAATGGATATAAAGGTATTACGATTTCAAAATTTGGGTCTAAGGATATGATACTTTGGAAAGGGTCTTCTTTTGTTTTCACAGAGGACCAGACCCTGTGGATTTCTTCTATCCCAATTTGGTATGATAGACCACGACCTCCCGAAAAGTTGCTGTGAACATCTTCACAAAATTACTTCACTCAACTGCCAACTGAGATGAACCTGACACACAGGTTACACCCTAAACGATCTGATTAACAGCGCCCCCATTCAGCAGGAAGCAGTTTGGAGAGAAAAAACTGCGCCCATGTTCCCAAAATATTGTTTATAAATGTTCTTTTACATTTAAAGGGGGATATGATATAGGTATGAATAATTTGCATTGGTATGGGTTTTAAGGTCAATTTTGTTATATGTATATGTATTTTTGATCTTGAATAAGGTGTGATTGTGTAGTTCATTTTTAAAATGTAATGTATAATTAGGAAATATAGGTTGTTGATGGATAATCATAATAGTCAAGTTTGTAGTCATGTTACTTAGATTTTCTAGATATATAGAGATATATTTCAGATAGGCATTCTTCATATCTCTCAAAGGCTACAGAATATGGCATTTAAAATATTTTAATAACTTAGGACTTTTCATGACAATGAGACATATCTGCTCCTGGTGGCACCAATCTACTTCGAGAGGAAGATGGGCATCGAAGAGGATCCTTATGGAGTTGGATAGCCATTTGGGCAAGAAACTGCTCTTGCCTGGACTGTTGCATAAAATGGACACAGAGAACCCGCAGAGAGAGGACTGCTGAACTTGCCTAAAGGATACTATGGGCCTGAAGGCTGAAGATGGATGCCCCAACCATACAAAAGAACTTTGGGTGACTGTCCAGGCAGCAAGATATCTCTGTCATTTCTAGAGTTTTCTTATTTCTTGTTTACTTAGGTAGTATTATATCCTTCTGGAGTCTTTGATGGAGTTGAAGAATGAATAGATAGTTATAGTTTTCCTTAGTTATGATAAAAGATAAAATAGATATAAATATTGTAACTGTAATTCTTGCTTGATAACTGTTTTGCTATATGTAATTTTACTATGTTAAAGTTAAAGCCTTTCTTTTTTGTTTAAACAGAAAAAGGGGAAATGATGTGGGAGTAATTTCTTATTAATAAAGAAACTGCCTAGACCCATTTGATAGGCCAACCCTTAGGTAGGCGGAGTAAACAGAACGGAATGCTGGGAGAAAGAAGCTGAGTCGGGGAGTCGCCATGATTCTCCCACTCCAGACAGACGCAGGTTAAGATCATTCCTGGTAAGCCAGCTCGTGGGCTACACAGATTAATAGAAATGGGTTAGATCAATATGTAAAAGCTAGCCAATAAGAAACTGAAACTAATGGGTCAGGCAGTGTTTAAAAGAATACAGTTTCCGTGTAATTATTTCGGGTAAAGCTAGCCATGCGGGCGGCCGCATGCCAGGGACGCAGCCCTGCTGCTCGTAACACAACACAAAGGCGTTCCAGAAGAGACACGGACAGTCTAACATGTGTGTGGTGTAGTATCTGTAGACCCAATTAGCTACAGATGGCAGATTGTCACATACAGAAGGCTGCTTCTGTGTGGAAAGCACACTTCCTTTCTCCATGTTTAGTCTCTAACAAATACTCCACAGCAGCCATTCCCATGGCTCTGAAAGCATCCTCGGTGCCGTCAGTATCTACAGATTACCTGAAGCACACAGCAATATGCAAGCAGGTTACTTATAGGACTACATTTTGTGTAAGAGACCAGCATGCATGCAGAGGTCTGGAAGCAACCTGCAGTGGACAGTGAGCAGGGCTGTATGGAGAGAGGTGACGGAACTGTCACGGAAGGAAGCAGTGTGTTAGGCTTGAGGATACGGCCAGTGGCTGACCACCGCTGCTGTGCAGGTCGTGAGTGTCCTGGACAGGAGGCAGGACTGTAGGCAACAATTATTCTAAATTTCTGAGCATAGCATCTGGCCTGTGGTAACTGGCAATAAATATTGTTTCCTTCCTTTCTTCCTCCCTCCCTCCCTTCCTACCTTCCTTCCTTCCTTTTCATTTTCCAAAAAGTGAGGTTTTTTATTTGTTTTTGTTTTAATTATAGGTAAAAAGCCACTTAGGCGACTTTAAAAAGTCTGTATCCATTCATGACAAAATTTAAAGACCTCCTATCCTCAGAGTTGGGCTCCACGGGCTCCCCTTACTATCTGTTCTACTATTGGAGTTACATACAGAAGAGGCTTTGTAAACACTGGCTCTGTGGCAGTACCTGCTTTGGTAACCACAGAATGCTAAGTCATGTCCACTGTTCCAGGCATTCAATGGCTTTCCCCTCAACATCTGAACCTATGGAATATCTTCCAAATCTCTCCACTGGTCACCATTCCTCCTGGTTTGATCTCTACAGCACACCGGGCATGCATGTTCCCCATATCTCAGTCCTGTTCTCTCTCTGCATTTGCAGGTGCAGCTGCCTAGAAGGCTCCTCTCTCAGATACTCAGCCTTGGTCTCCAGAGACTTCCAGGACTTGAGGCCAGCGTCATCTCTCAGAAAGGCCTGCTTTGATCACTCTGATTGACGTGATGCCATCTCTAACGATAAGAATCTTAATTTCCACTTAAATGCTTTCTCGCTGTCATTCAAAATCGCACTGTCTCTGACACAGGTGTTTATATCACTGATTTAAACCTTCACAGTAATATAACATATACAGGGAGAAAGATGTTTTCCTGTTTCTTCATGGCTGTTTTCCCGGTGTCTAGAGCAATGTTTGTCTCATAGTAATTGGTTATTTCTGAATGAATAAATAAACTCCAGAGGCATTTTTACAAATTTCAATTACATTTTTACATATTTATTGAACCATCAGAACGAACCTTTGGCCATTTGACCACAAACAAAATAGGTCACTACTCACGTCCCCCTTTCCGGTTCTTTTTGCTGGCAGATCTAATCACAGCGCTTCAAATTTACCATGGTGTGAACCCTTTAGCCAAATGGGCCCCAGTGGTTTCACAGTTATGCTTCTGCATCAACATTTTCTATTCAAATGCTATTTTCTGTTTTTATTCTACTATTGTTTGTTTTTCTTCAGTTTTATTCCCAGATTACTGAAGTTTAAAATAATGGTTTTTCCCCTTGTCTTTTTTATTAGGATACATTTTTTTTCCTACTCTTCTTGACTTGGGATCTTAGACAGTAGAGTTTAAGAAGAGCCTCCTTATCTTTCTCTATATTCATTTTCTTACACTCATCCTCCACTTTTGCTAGCCATGATGGGAAAACCAAGACTTGCTTTTTCTCAACAACAACAACAACAAAAAAAAAAACTGGTGCTATGAATTCCCCCTACACTTATCAAAACAGCAATTCCCTCCACTTTCTGTTCACCCTATGTAAACATTATAATGAAGCTTATTTGCTGACTCGAAGACTTTCTTCTTGACTCAGAGCGTTGGCAATGTACACAGTTCTAACAAGAAGCTCTGGAGTTGGAAGTCCACGTGTCATAACACATAGAATCGTCAGATTGGAAAGCAACTGCTTTAAGACGGATGTCAGTGGGTTCAGTTAGCCAGCAGAACGGAATAAAGTATCATCATCATTTTATAGACTCTCTGCCTGAGCTTCTGGCCTCTTACATCTCGGCCATCCTCAGGTCGTGTGCTTCATCTGAACAACCTTCCCCATTTCTTTAGCTCGTATCACTAAATCCTCTGGTAGACAAGATTGCTACTTTCAGTCAGTGTTGAAGGGTTAATTCCTGACTGGCATTGGTACCTTGTGTGGTACATCCATTTAAAATCGTTATACTTTGCAAGATAGAAATAGCCAGCTTTTAAAAAAATTAAATAAAATTATACACACACACACACACACACACACACACACACCACCACCACCACCACCACCACTAGCAGCAGCAGCAGCAGCCTTTGATTTAATTCAAGTCTTTGGTTTTGACTATGACTTTTCCCCAAGATTACCCTCCTTTCTGGGAGACAGAGACATTAGCCAATAAATCTACACTCTGCACTGTGAAGGGACATTGAGGTTGCTGTGAGGTACAGCTGGGCCACAGTGTCCACATACTGTAGGTGAACTCGGAACTGGCAACTGATTGCATCAACAGCTCTAGAAACACAAATTTGCTCATGTAAGTAAAATATTCTTTCTTCAGGATTTTTAACAAAGTCTGAATAGGGGAAGTGATGCTCAGGTTTCCTGCTGCCTAATCAAATAAAAATGGAATGCATGACCTTCCCAGAACTGTGGTTTTCTGCAGGCAGACTGCCATAGTATTTAACACTAACATAGACATAGACCTGCTTCTCTCCTTCAAAGCAGTGACTTAAACCCACAGGTTTCAGAGGAAAATTTTAACTCTGGAAGATAATTTAAATGCCAGAGAAGAAAAGCTGCTTACCTGCGGGAGGAGCTGGAGGGGATGCCTGCTTAGGCTCTTGGGTATTGGCTTGGTTTAAGTTATCGTAGACCACTGATGCATCCATTGTAGGTGGGGGGACTTGACAGTGAACTTGTGTACAGGAACTGACTCCAAGGTCTGTGAGTTGAAATGAGCTAAAAAGGAAGTCCGCTGCACACTCTCTGCTGTGTGGGTCCACACCCACCCACACTGGTAGCTGAGAGTTTCTCCATAGTTACTGACCGTGGTGCCTGTCTGCTCACAGAGCTTACTTTTAAAAAAAAAAAAAAAGAAAGAAAGAATACTTCTGGGACGGTCTTTTTTGTTCTTTTTCCTCTGTCTGTTATGAGCTATCCCCTCAGAACTCTGATGAAATATTCATCTTGAATTCAAAATTACCTTCCTCCTAAACTCCCAGGCTTCAGATGTATGCCATTCTGTGCTTTGTCATGAGACTGAGGGTTATCCATGAAAGCCTATGGTGCTATTTGGCACCGGTTGAAGCTCTGAAATCCTCCTGAAATATCCACACTGTGAAAGGAGCTGTGGAGCTGCAGACTGGAATGTGGGAAAACCTCGTGACTGACACAAGAGGAAGAGCAGTGATAGGAGCAGCGTGTGCCACTCAGAGCAGTCCTGAGTGAAAGGACTTCATCCGTCAGAGCGACAGGGAGAGGAGGACACAGGTCTATGCGATGTGCTAACTCCTCCACGGATTTCTAGACCCAGAGCCTTAGAGCAAGGACCACACCTAATCAGACAGTCTCATATCACAAGTGAAAAAGAAGAAGAAAAGCGAGGATTTCCTTAAAGTCACTTTCTGTGGTCAGAGTGGAATTGTGCAGGTGCACACAGTAACATGACCATGGCAGCAGTCTGCAGGCTGTGCGTTCCAGGAGTCAGGTGCACACTCATGGCGTGGAGAGCACATTCATTTCCTAAGGCCATTGATGATTACAAAGTGAGGTGAAGCCTGTGTGCGGGTCTCACAGCACACATTGTGACTCAGTGGAACCTCCTCAGCTGTCACTCTTTGTTGACAGTCATTTCACCCAAGGCCAGGCACGGAGTTCTGTCCCATTATCCATCTAAACCTAAGATTTCAGCAAGTGTGCAAGATTTCCCAAAGTTGAGCATCTTGTGTGGTTCTATTTATTTCTTTCGCTCAGAATACTGTCATCTCTGGTAGACAAGCCATCCACTCCTCCCAAAGGGTAAGGCCTCCCATGGGGAGTCAACAAAGCCTAACACATCAAGTTGAGGCAGGACCAAGCTCCTCCACCCTGCCTCAAGGCTGAGTAAGGCATCCCACCATATTGAATAGGGTCCAAAAAGCTAGCTCATGCACCAAGGATAGATTCTGGTCCCACTACCAGGGTCCCCTCAGATAGACCACACTATACAACTGTCTTCCACATGCAGAGTGCCTGGTTCAGTTCCATGCAGGCTCCACAGCTGTCAATCTAGACTTTGTGAGCTCCCAGGAGCTTGGTTCAGAAGTCTCTGAAATTTAAAAAAGGCTAGGAAAAATGAGTGATATTTCAAATGTCAAAATGACAGAAAAATTTACATAGATACATATAGTGTCATATATCAATTTGTGGATTTCATTGGTTAGGCAATAAAGAAACTGCTTGGCCCTCATAGGTTAAAACATAGGTGGGTGGAGTAAACAGAACAGAATGCTGGGAGGAAGAGGAAGTGAGCTCAGAGTCGACAGCTCTACACACGTGATGAAGCTCTGACCCAGGATGGACGTAGGCTAGAATCTTCCTGGTAAGTGCACCTAGCAGTGCTATGAAGATGATTAGAAATGGGCTAAATTAATATGTGAGCCGGGCCGTGGTGGCGCACGCCATTAATCCCAGCTCTCGGGAGGCAGAGGCAGGTGGATCTCTGTGAGTTCGAGACCAGCCTGGTCTACAAGAGCTAGTTCCAGGACAGGCTCCAAAACCACAGAGAAACCCTGTCTCGAAAAACCAAAAAAAAAAAAAAAAAATCAATATGTGAGAATTAGCCTAGAAGAGGCTAGATAGAAATGGGCCAAGCAGTGTTTAAAATAATACAGTTTGTGTGTTGTTATTTCGGAGCATAAGCTAGCCAGGCGGCCAGGGTGCTGGGGATGCAGCCCCACCGCAGCTATTACAACAGATACAAAAACAAACAAATGAACAAAACAAAAATAGGGAATCATGGCCAAGCAGAGAAAGGAAGGGATACTTTATAGATTAAAGCATCGCAAATGTATGAGCTTCTTCAGCAAGAGTTTTCAGAATTATCCTAAAGATGCTTGGTCAACTACTAGGAACTAATGAGCCGATGGACGCCCCAGATGGGCAGGTAGAGGGACACAGGAAGGCGACACACAAGCAAAATCATTTGCTAACAAGGACGTGAAATATGTGCATAGAACCTAACAGTTTTGGGGAATGAAAAACCACAACAACAGCAATGAAACGTTCACTGGGGGTCAAGGGAACTTGGTATTTTTCAAAACTGTAAGCAAAACAAACTTCTTTTCATGAAAGCAAAAGATGGAATGTTTGTGAAGAGAACAAGGATGGAAGAAAATAGGGGAAACTGTTGAAGGTGACAGGGTGTCAGTGGATCAGAGCATGGTACACACACGTGTGAACATGTCACAAGGAAAATTGTTTGGCTGTAGACCTACTGCCTTCTAATAAAAAGTGGAAGAAAATGATAAGTCGCATTTCTTTACAGATATTCTGCTCTCAGTATTTTGTAACTGCAGCAAATGGACTCATACAGATGATGTCTCAAAACTGTGGAAAATTCATTTCAACTTAAAATATTGCAGTCAGCAAAATTATTCTGCAAAAATGAAGAAGAAACTGAGACCTTCCGAAATATTCAAAACGTGAAAGAGGTTTATTAGCACAAGAGACAACCCAGAGGTCTTCATTTCAAAAAGAAAGGACAGTAAGGAGAAAAACACAGTCATACAATGTTTCCAGCACACACAACAGCACAGGCTACTTTAATACTGGTACGTAGATTTTAAGTGACAAGCACACACAGAAAACAGGTATACTTGTATGACAATGTGTATATAATACTTAAAAGTGTCAAACATAACTGTTCAGGTGGATGCTTCACCCCAGCCTCTGGCATCCATATACCCAAAGAGTCTGGAATGTTCGGGAAGAAGCTCCACCCCAAGCCCCCACCCCACCCCACCCCTGGCTCTCTCCAAACCCTGCTGCATCTCAGAAAGCTGCCCAAATGATAATCCCTCCCCCAGAGATGCTCAAGACCACTCCCACAGGGTATTAAGCTGCCCCCCAGAAAACAGATGGTCATAGGTCCAGCTGCCATCATCGTGAACCCAGGAATACCTACTTACAATCCTGCATGCACACCCCAGGGGCCACAGCGAGCCCTGAGACAGCTCAGAATGAATGCAGCCCTCCGTCCACATAATCAAAAACTTACTATAAACATGCTGAGATATTTTGTGCTTGAGTTTTGTTTTGTTTTGACTCAGGCGTGTATTTCTCAAGAGTGAACTTTATGGATGGCAGCATCCTGTCGCTGTGTGAAAAAGTTGGCATGTCTATCTGAATATTTGGTCCTCAGTGGCAATACTGAGGGGGCAGGATGTTAAAGAAGAGGCCGGGTAGGAAGTCCTTCCTGGCTCCAGTCTTGACTCTAGCTTCCTGTTTTGCCATATGATCTTCCTCTCACCCTTGCTTCTTCCTGCGTCTTCCCACTTCTTCTCTCCTCTTAGGTAAAATTCACTCTATCCTGGGGTTAATTTTGGGCTGCACCAACCAACCTGTCCAAAAAGGCACTGGGGAAAACAACTTACAACAGTATAACCCCGTGTGTACTGGCTAGGTTTTGTGAAACTTTTTTTTTTGTATTTTTTTTTTTTTTTTGGTTTTTCGAGACAGGGTTTCTCTCTGGCTTTGGAGCCTGTCCCGGAACTAGCTCTGTAGACCAGGCTGGCCTCGAACTCCCAGAGATCCGCCTGCCTCTGCCTCCTGAGTGCTGGGATTAAAGGTATGCACCACCATGGAACGGAAGAGTCTTTTGGGAAGAGGAAACATCAATTGAGAAAATATCTCCATAAGACTGGACTGGCAGGCCAGGCAGTGGTGGCGCACACATTTAATCCCAGCACTCGGGAGGCAGAGCACTCGGGAGGCAGAGCACTCGGGAGGCAGAGGCAGGCGGATCTTTGGGAGTTCGAGGCCAGCCTGGTCTACAAGAGCTAGTTCCGGGACAGGCACCAAAGCTACAGAGAAACCCTGTCTCGAAAAACAAAACAAAACAAAACAAAACAAAAAAAGATTGGACTGGCAGGAAGTCTATGCGACATTCTCTTTACTAATGATTGATATAGTAGGGCCCAGCACACCGTGGGTTGGTGCCACCTGTGAGCAGGTGGTCCTGGGTTACTTAAAAAAGCAAATGGAAGAAGCGATAAACAGCAAGCCATTCAGCAGCATTCCTCCACGGTCCCTGCTTCCCCTCCTGCCTCTAGGTTCCTGCCTTAAGATCTTCCTGCCTACCTTGCCTTCATGGTGGACACGTGAGGTTGCTAAACCACTTCCTCTGCAAGCAGCTGCTTTTGGTCATGGTCGTTATCACAGCTATAGAAGGTAAACTAAGACCCGGTCCTATAGAATGTTCTCTAATAAGAATGACCTAGATGATTCATTGGGCGCCATTCTGTTGAGAGTGGCGGGCTGCTTCCCGCCACCAGGCTAGCTTTACAAGGAACAGCGGCAGGCTGCTGCATCCCGCCACCCAGCTAGCTTTACCCCTGAAATAATTACATGGAAACTGTATTCATTTAAACAGTGCTTGGCCCATTAGCTCTAGCCCTTACTGGCTAATTCTGATATCCCGATCAACCCATCTCTAATAAACTGTGTAGCACCGGTCTTACTGGGAAAGATTCACCATGTCTGACCTAGCGGCTTGCTTCATCATGTGCGTCTGCCCGGGAGAGCGGAACATGGCCTCTCAGCTCACTTCCTCTTCCTCCCAGCATTTTGTTCTGTTTACTCCACACACCTATGTTCTAACCAATAAAATGGGCCAAGGCAGTTTCTTTAT